CATTGACCTTTAGGTCAAGGTCACTGAGATTTAAACTTCTCTCAAGATTTTTAGTAGATATACTTATACTATACTACTCAATTTAAAAATCCTGTGTCGCCTTGTTCTCATATTCAGTTTGGTGTCCATGATTGATAACTTTTACAGATGCCCCGGTTTGGACAGATTCTCGGATGCTGGCTACGTGTCTCACCCCCCCTAAAACAAAAAAACAAAAAAAACAAACCCCATCCTAAATAAATAAACGCAGGATCTGAGGTAGTCCACTAATACAGGAAGATACCCAAGTAAATAAAGTTGCAGCATTGTCTTTTTACCTCAGCACAGGTTGGGTGGATGCCAATGGTGGTGTCCAACTGCTCCTTGGTGACACCACACTTCATGGCTGCACCGAAGCCCTGCGTCACCTCTCCTGCATTCGGTCCTAAGTAGTGGAAACCGATGACTCGATCCTGCAGTGTGGCATAAACAATAAAAATAAATCAGGAGCTCAGGCTGGTGGCTGCAACAGATTCAGGCACATTTGTCGGTTGCATTTTAGTTGCTCTGATCTTACGTTGTCTAGTTTGTTGCAGATGATCTTGGCGTAGCATTTGTTGTTGTCCCTGCCGGGCACGGTGAACTCCAGAGGCCAAAAGAGACTGTGATACACCTGAACATGAGACCAGAAACACATGAATGTAAAAGCTTCAAAACAAATGCCGTTCTGCTGTCCAACGTCAGCTCGCATTCACTGGTGTACTGAAGAGTTTGTATGACTGGAATAAAACACTAAACGCATGCATTTGCTTGATGGCAACCAAGTAAGTTGGAGACAGTTTCATTCAATCTGAAAGCAGCGACCAGAGCGCACAGTCGGCCGAGCCTCATCTGTCATCAACAATTAGCTGTTACCTCCAGGTTTTCCTCGCCGTAAAGCTCGATGGCTCTCTCCTCTGGCAGACCGCAGGAACCATACTCCAGCGGGGTGAAGACTGTGGTGGGAACATTGATGTAGTCACACTGCAAAAACACAGCATTTGGTTAGTGATTAACAAAATCTTGCTGTGGAACACCAGATTCATCATGTGGAGCACAAAACACTCTGACCTTCTTTATGTCCTTCCCTTTCAATGGCTTACTTCAGATTTTAACACTATACCTCTTTAAAATAAGATTAGTCTTAATGGCACCTTAACATTCAGTTTCCTTCCAACGAAACAGGTCTTTATGCACCTTAAATAGGTACTAAGAGACCGTTCAGACACTTTATGTCTGGTAGTATTGAGTTGGTTGTAGTTTAATGGACAAATAGATTTTAGAATGACAGTCAGAAATCATGACACAGTCACGTTGTACTTACTTTGAC